TTTTTTGGAAGCCCGATCCGGGTCACCGATCCGTTTTTTAAACCATTGGGTACAACCCAATTGTAAGTTACTTTGTTGCTAGATGCTTGTTTATTCTTTAAGTGCTTGGTTGGTCGCTTGGTATAATACATATTCTTTTGTGTTTGGAAAAATTATGTCTAAACTAGAAAATGTTAGTGACAGTACGGAATGCTCCAATTTTTCCCAACATATATGCAGAGGTCCTACTTTTTCACTGTTTTTATTTTTTTCTATTTTCCCCCCAGTCCAATGTTTGATCGGTTTTTTATTTATTTCTTTGAACTAAATAAGATGTAACATAAAACAACCTATTCCAATTCCTGTATCCAGTTTGTCTAAATGTCAGTGTGGATCTCAACTTCCCTTGCTTTATCATTTATGTTTTGAAGATTTTATGAAGGAACCGCTGGCTTTGGTGTTCGCTGGTTAATTTTTGTGCCTGAATCCAGGTTTTGTTTATCAATAATCAGTAAATCTGATTTTACTAAACTGATGTTAATTGTTGCAGAGTGAGGGTTCGAGGAAGATTATTGCCCTGGGAACTATACCATTAGCTACAATTGAAAGGTTTAGTAAACATGTAAGCATTTTATTGTTTTATGCACTGCATTTTGCTGCTGTACGTGCTGTTAAGGAATGCATATTCACATGCTTCATCAATGTCCTGATGTTTCTTTCTCTTGTCAACGAAAAGGTTTGTAAGGATCATAGTGATGGAAGTGATAACATATTCACCTGCTTCATCATTGTTCTGATGTTTCTTTCTCTTGTCAACGAAAAGGTTTCGTAGGATCATAGTGATGGAAGTGATAATAACTGCAGGAAATGTGTGCATGAAATTATCTTATCATCTGAGAACAGGAACTGTATTGGGTACTAATTGTGAAATTGTTTGACCAGTTGTCTATTTTCTTGATCCTTTTTCACTTTATAGACAGTTATTATGGCCTAAAGGAGATTGTCGTTTTTTCTTTTTTTTGAATGATACTATGTATTGATTTAGAAACCACTTGCATCAAGTTGCTTCAAAGAAGCAGACAAACGGTGGCATGCCCAGTAAAGGAGAAAAAAACAGGAAGAAAAGATAAATGACTATCATAGGGGATACAGGAATTTAAAGTCCAACATGGATATTTTCCATATGATTATGTACCTCGGGCCGATGAATATGTTCGCTTGTGTGCCCTTCTTGGCACATACTAAAATGTAACAGATCTACAATGGTATAAATGGAATTTTCTCTCTAACATTGGCAATTCTCCTTTCTTTCTCATTGAATCTCATTCATGGAATCTCCTCTATCATTATGACATATGTGTTGGAAATATGGCTTATCAAGGCCTAAATTTTAGAAGTCTCTCATACAGTGGGAGCGATTGAGAGATTGAAATCTTGGCGTCTTGTGAAATGGAGCCCAGATTCTTTTACCCCAAGTACGCATGAGGCATTGAGAGTTCACGTGTTGAGAAAGCAATTTCTCAAGGAGGTGTGAGGGTCACCTCCTAGTCAGGATTTTATAGGGTAGCCTCATGTTTAGCTGCAATCGGCCAGGGCTTGGAGAATCCAAACGAGAAAAATAGAACCCCGAGTACTTATTGAGTATTCGCCCTGTATGGAGTGGTTAAGACTTATGAGACATAAGTCCGTATCCTGACACAAGACCATTGCATGGCATGTGCATTTTCATTTCGTACGGGAAGCCACTCTTCCAAATGCATTATCCGAGCTTAGAAGAGCCAGTGCACATGTGCTTTGATAGGACCCCTGTAATTGAGTTAGATCATGTCCCACAGAGTTACACCTGTAATCCATTGAGAGCCGAATGATCGGAAGTTCTGGCTCAGTGGCTTTGATATGGCCACTTATGTGTCTTTGCTTTAGACTGTGGAACAGAGGTCGATTGGGTTGATCTGAGACTCAGCGGAACATCATTCGGGACTAGCCCAATGAAGTACTTTGATACCTATAGTTATTAGCCTGAGATCTCACTATACCTTTTGTTCGATTTTATAATGATCAGAAAAACCAAATAAGTGCTAAAAAATACTTTAAATATTTATTGTGAATTTTAGAGAATTTTTTGGAATTTTATTTGCTAATAAAAAATGAGGGTTTTCAAATTGTTTGACTCAAATTCCACTTTAGTCCTAACCTGGTAGTGTCATGTAGCGTCCGAGTGGCCATAAGGCTGCGACGTGGCACTCCATGCCTCACTCTAGGACCACTGCGCATCTGGGCGCTGATCCATAGGCGGGGGACTAGATTGATATTTGGTTGCTTGTTTTATAAGGGGTTATGTTATGGTCTCTTGTTATATATTGTTATATAATGTTATAAATTAAGGCCCCTTTTTTATCACATGTCTTAGTTAACTCACGCATAGATAATGCATAGCATGTGTGAAGTTTAATTAATTAATTTATTTGATATTAAAGAGAAAATGCATTTTCAAATTTGAGTTGAAAATATCTTCACACACGTGTGAATGAGACATTATTTTTAAATTGATTGGTTTGAAATTTTAGATCTACAAAGTGATTGGCTTTGATAAAGTAGAATATCTCCACATGTGTGAGCTTTGCCTATTACTTCTTTGCCCTTTAGCCTTTGTGGTTATCTATTCTAATACATTATTAACAAAAACTATGGGTATTGTTGTAAGGCCATATTGGATACAATTAGAATAAAAACATGGGTCAAGGACAAAATGGTAAAGTGGCGTAACTTAGGGTTAGGGTGAGTGATAATGGTGTAAAATCCCATCCCTTCATCCTAGTGGTTGGATGGTGATGGGTGGCTAGGTACATTAGCCTCTCATGTGCCTTTGGATTAGTACATCAAGGGTGTTGATTGAGTCCAATGTTACACCTATGTTATAAAGCACATCATGAGATCTCAAACCCTAACTATCTCAACTCTTGAACCGTTTTGGAAAATTGTTGCTCCCCTCCTTCTAAGGTTTTGTGAGAGAAAATTGAAGAGAGAGGGCTTTTAGAGTTCCAGTAATGGTGATTTTGATGGTGGTCCTTTTTTTTATGTTTAAGTCCACAGTGTGCATTTATCAAGGTAAACTCCATTGAATCTTCTTTTTTCATAAGATCATATTCTTGGCATCTATAGTTGCTAGAGTTTTGAATTTTGAAAGTTTCATTGATCTTAGAATCCTCATTTGATCATCTTTCTTATCATGCTTATTCATAGTGTGGTCCTTCAGGAGTTATAGTGTATATGCATGAGAATCCATGATCATGCATAGTATCCATTGATACTTTGCCTCAAATCAATCAAATAATTTAGTCTCAGAGTGTCACTCAATTTCTAAAACTTTTTCATCATGTTTTTACCTATGGGGGTTCATAATCTTTTCATACAAGACTGTTTTGGTGGTCTGAGGGACCACCGTGTGTAGTTTAGCCATAACTCTATCCGATTCGATTCAAACCTTTTGCATTTTGTTTTGGATGATAATGCAAGTGTGTTAAGATCTTAAGAAGTGATTTTAAAGTGTGTAATTGCTTCCCATTTGGATTAGACACTCTTGTGAGATTGAACCACTTTTGTACAATCCGAAGGGACAAAATTAAGTCTTTATAGGGCCCGATTGCGTGGCCCCGGCACAAGGGGTTCGAAACATGGCTTCCCTATTTTAATTTGGTATTCTAATTCCCTGTTTAGTTGATTTTATTCCTTAGAATTTTGTTTAGATTAATTGCATGATGTATTGGGACATAGTTTATGTAATTTGTGTTATGAAAGTGTAATTCATAAGCTAGTCTTGCTTTATATGTAATTGCCCCATAAGGGGTTGGTATTTGAGTTTATTTACAGTGAATAGACAAGGCTAGAAATGATTGTAATTGTTATTTAAAGGATTGTAACTTATTCACTTAGCTTGGTTTTTAGCAAGTGGCTTGTTGAAGGTGTCCATTTTGCCTTGTTTTTCGGTTTGAAAATTTGCTCTAGTCTTTGTATCCACTAACAATTTGCAGAGTACTGGAGGAAGATTTTCTGCCCTTTAAGAAAAGCTGTTGCCTTGGCCCTTTTAGCATCATCAAGCACCATTTGACCTGCAAAGGCAGCCCCAAATTATCTCCAATTGCTCCCGCACAAAGGGGGTTACCTGTTTGTACTAGAAATCATATCTCATTGTGCAAGTCAAGAGAAGAAAGCCTTCTGCATTGGAAGCGGCAGTAGTGCATTGAAGTCGTTAGTTGCGTTTATGTATAACCAAACTCCATAACTTGTGTATTCAACCTATGCAAGGACAAAAAGGAACACCCTTATTATTACAGTATTTACGATGACATCTGAACGTTCCCTGGGACTCAGTAAAATAATTTTTCTTTCTTATCCATTGCATTGTTGCGTGTATATGCTTCAACAGTGAAAATTTTGATAAAACATCTTTATATGGGGTTATTGATTCAAATCAAGGTTTGCTTGTTCTTTTAGTAATTGTTTATCCAAAATTTATCCATTGGTTCAAATTCATTGTAAGCTATATTACCAAAGCCACATGCATGATTGTATAATTTGTTTCCTATGTGGTTATGTAGCAGATAACTGAAACTCTCCATTTTAAAATAAAAGATTAGGTAAAAGATGAACCCCTTCAAGCTAATGAATAAAAACTTGTATATCCCAGTGAGAAAGACTTTGTAGTCAACTCGACTTGTCCTATAATTAAGCAAAAAAACTTGGGTTTGTATTTTTTGGCTAGATATAATTTTCTGTGTTGCCGACCCCAAATAGTTGGAAAAGGCTCTGAAGACGATGATGTAATTTCCTGCGTTGTTTTGATGCATAAGTGGAATTTGTCAAAGTGTGAGGAATGTGATTTGACTTGGTGATAAATCTCACAATTTTTTCTGAAATTCCTAAAACGATTAAAAAACTTGCGCAGGTTTTCCCGATTTGACTGTTTAACTTGCCAAGTCAACTTGGGTTTAGCAAGGACCGAGTTGGCCATCGAGTTCATGTTTCTAAACATTGCTTCAAGATAGTGTTATTCTGACCTATATCAGAAGAGGACCAGGCCCATCTTATCAACTTATAATATTGAATAACTCTGTCAAATTTTCCAATTTTTTTTTTCCTTTTTTGGATTGCAAAAAAGCCAAAATTTCCCAACTTGACACATATTTTACTGATAATTGTCTTGGCTGATTTATAAAAACAATTAATTTCTGGATTGACGCCAATACATGTCATTGTGGTTATATTTTATATATTTTGACATATCTTGTATGAATAAATTAATGGGGCACTTATAATGTGTGTTGTCATATGTGAGCATGCATGTGCCTCTCTGAAGTTCTTTTTTTTGTTGTTATTGTGTTGCTATTGCGAGTCAGATTTGTTTATTTGCTTTACAGTATTGTAATGCTTCCTGTCATCTTGGGATCCAGGTGATGAAGCTATCACCCACACCACGACAACCAGATAGGACTCCTTCACGCCGCCTACTCCAGGTTATTGGTATGCTTTTGGGGTGTTATTGCATATATACCTTTGGTTCAACTTTCATGTATGTTATACACATTTATAGTTGTATCAGAATACCCTTGTTCTGGTGTATAGTGTGGAATATTTTGATTTCCCATGCAAGATCTATTGCAGTGGTTTATGTGCCGTCTTCTTTCTTTTGCTCTATTTATTCTTTCTAACATGCTATCAAATCTGTGCTGGTCTATATGGGAAGTTTTCATGTTTTGATAGAAATCACCACCCCCGCTACTACGTAATTTGTCATATGTATCCAGTTTCGGATACATAAAAAAAGTTAGTTATGATCATTTGATTGATAAGATTTATCCGATTAAACCTATCTATATGGACCTATTTTATCAAATGCGGATGTATACATAATGCGTTATGCTTCCCTGGGCATATCAGCCATACCCACATATCCAGGAATATGAAAAGAGCCGTATATGCGGTGCATAGACTGTGCATCGCATCAGGGTATGCACTTCCGCTCGTTTGCAGAAATTTACCCTTGAGTAGGGGCAAAATTGTTAACCCCTGCTCCCCCCCCCCTTCCCACACCACCCACCCACCCACCCACCCAAAAGTGGTGAAAAAGAGAGGAAATGATTTAGGATTTAGGGGGTTATATGTCCTCCTACCCCTACAACCATACTTCCATGGTTATAGAAAAAAGAAGCTTCTAAGATATTCAAAAAGAATTTGGGGTTTGTTCTTGAATCTTTGGTGGATTGTTTGATATTATTTTGGGCTTCATTTTGAAGGTTATTGATGACGATTCTACAAGTGTTGGGTCCAAGAGATTAAATCCTTTGAAATCAAAATTTCTTTCGATTTGGGAGTTAAGACTTGAGAGTCGAGAGTTCTTTTGAAGTTGAGACTCATCTGATTAAGACTTAAGAGTTGAGAGTTGGCACATTGATTCATTGAGCTTGAGGGTATTTATTATCTTCTTATATTTATATGTTATAAACTTTTGGTCTTTGGAGTTTGAAAGTTATGTTTAGGTTGTGGCTGTGAGGTTGTGGTCATGAACTTGACATTGTGAAATATTTTTCGTCCTTGGATGTTATGTTAAATTGTTAATACTATTGGGATGGAATGGATTATTTTATATTACATGTAAGATAACAACTCTAGTACTCTTTATCAAACTATCAGGTGACTCAAACAGTTAATATGTTAGAGAAAAGTTGTCATCATCATCATCATCTGAGCGTTATCCCAACTATTTGGGGTCGGCTAGATGAATCTTGTTCCATTCATGAAAAGATGTGGCGAATTTTTACGTTGGCTGCCCTACCTAACACAACCCTCCTCCTTATATTCAGCTTGGGATCGGCATGACCGGCTTGGGACCCAGCCATGGCGGAGTTAATATATTAGAGAAAATTAATAAATTAAATTTTTTTACTAACATAAATCACAAATTAGTGTTTTTCTAGGCATTCTTATATTTTTATATTTTGTATATTTGTTGACCGCATTGCTTGTGATGCGCCCACCTTGTGACAACATTGAGCCGCATCTCGCATCGGAACCCCAACCACATCGATTCTGCATCTTGCATTCGATAAACATCAAAAACTCTAGGGGGGGTGGTCAGCAGTTGTAGATTTAGTGATATACTATATATAGTGTTAAAGTTAATAACAGTTGAATGATAGATCTAATGTTTGTATCTTTTGTTTGACATTCATGTTCTTTTACTTTATTTTTTTTTCTTTAAGCACTCTTCTCATTCATTTATTTTCAAGACAAATTAGGAAGGTGTGTATGATGACTGAACCAACACAAATGTACATGCTTTAGTTGCGGTTCATGTGTGTCATAATTCTTATCCTCAAACTTCCTTGCAGGTAAAGACTTGAGGATTATTGTCTATGGTTTTCGCCGTCGAACTAGACAGGTATGCCTGGATCGCTATTTTAGTGCTGTATACTTTGTTCTTTAATGGCCTCCCTATCCTATATTAAGGCTATCACAAAGATTTCTAGTATTGAAACCATATTTCTCGACACTATTTGAAGGTTTCTACTTTGATTGTTTAGAGCTTCGGCTCTATACAAACTGCACCCTATTATTATTAGGAAAGGTGTACAATAATACCATTTTTCTTTGGTATGAGGAGGCCAGTCACCCTTGTGCTGTTGGATGTAAAATCGGGCGGCTGGAGGGGTCCAAAGAAAAGTTTTTGAAATCTTACAGCTTGAGGTCTTATAGTGTACAATCCCATGGGGTTGTCATTCTCTTGTGGATGTTCTGGATCTCAAACCCAAGGCCTAAGGGCTATGGTCCTGGGCCCTACCTACTAAGCCAAGATGCCGAACCTATTATACAATATTAACTGTGTGAGCCAAGGGCGAGTTGGGACCTTTCACGTAGGTGTATTCTTGTCTACCACAAATTATGAACCAAAGCATAACAGCTTTTTTGGTTGCAATGCATGTTGGGTTTTTTGGCAATTTGTGACATTTTTCACACAGGTGGGTTCAAGCATGGAAAGGAACAGAAATGTTGCTGAAGCATTCCTGCACAAACATGCTAAAAAGAATACTAGAAATCAAGTGTGTTGGACTGTGCAAACCGTTCCAAAAGCTATCATATTATATTTATGCATGTAACATATATAATTGTATTCTTCAAAAAAAAAAAACATAATTGTAGGTCTTGCGACTGTTATTTATATTATAAATAATGGGAAATTTATCAAATTATCCATGATAGATTAATAATTTAACACTTTATCCATATCCTTTGATTTAATTAAAAAATGTCCATAAAATAACACATGGTCTTGAGTTGGAATAGTTCCAAAAGGGTAAATTGTTAAATAGTTAATCTCTTGTGGGTATTTTGATAAATTTCCCTATTTTAATCTTTGGTGATAAGATCATGATGTTTTGGACATGTAAATTTTTTGAGGCTTGGTCTTTAGAGGTGAGGACATTTTAAAAGACAAAAGTCCTAGAGGTGAGGTTCAATCCAAGACCTGTCTGGCCTTAATTATATTGGTCTTACATGCATTGTATAAGAGGGATGTAGAAAGCTCCTTTGTAATTTATAGCGTGCTACGAGCTAAGCATTGTGACCTTGACATGGTTGACTTTGGAAGAATATGGTGTACCATGAAATTATTTAGTTATTATCTATTGTTACGTCTTCTTCTATTTTAGCATAAAAACTTTGTCTGGTGTATATCATATATATATTTTTGTCTATAATGTGCAATTCTTCTATGCATGTATTTCTTCTGGTATATTAACTTTCATTGAGAATTAAAGAACAGATATGTGCATCAACTTATAATATATAATCTTATCTTGTATATTACATTATATTAACAATATAATTCTGCTTGTATCTGGGGTTAATTTTTCCCTTGGTATTTGTTGTCCCAAATGGATTTGATATCATATTAATGTTTTATTTAATTATTGGCTAAAAATATAATTTATTGAATTAACAGAGAAAACTTACGTCCAAATCAATGTAATGTACATAATTTTTTAATTTCATTACATGATATACAATCAAAATTATATTTTCTTTAATCTCACTGTCAAGTTGTTTGTTATATACAAGGAATAATTTGAAATTTGTCCTACCATGAGGCTATGGAAGTCATTTTTTTCTGGACTCTTGTTATTTGTGATGGATGTTTATTTTTCTAATTTCATTACATGAAATTCAATAAAAAGTTATAATTTCTTTAATCTCACTATCAAGTTCTTTGTTATATACAAGGAATAATTTAAAATTTGTCCCACTGTGAGGCTATGGAAGTCATTCTTTTCTGGACTCTTGTTATTTGTGATGGATGTTTCACTTCTCTTTTTTATCTTTCCTATCTGGAGTCAGTTGGTTTCAGAGTAATCCATTAACTACCCTAATGTAATATGTTGGCTAATTCTGGAGTGCTCCTAGTCTTGAACCTTGTCTTGTTGCCCTAATCTGTTGAAATGCTGATATTCTTCCACAACCACTTTCTTTCCTCCTCCGGCTCTATGCATCTATCTGTGAGTTTCTGTTTGAGCTTTTCTGTAGATGTGGAAGGATTGTGAAGAGAGTACACTTAAAAAGAAACTTCATTGCAGTCCAATGATACGTGTCCTCTAATAATCGTTTCACTCATCAAATCGCATGTAGGACCCCAGATTTTAGTACATTCTCTCATGAAATAGTTTTGTAACATACTTCTGCTAATTCCTGAACTTGTCAAAAATTTCTCGTGTCGGTTGTGTGATTCATGCATCTGTCATCAACTTCCTTGTTGATATGGCTTATTTTGCACAGTTGCACGACAGTGTTTTGTATATGATCCCTAAATAATTATTGTCGAATCATACTTCATTCATGAAATAGTTATGCTTAAATTGGTGACTCTTTCAGAGACGATCTGTTTTTGATGCACTGATGAAGTACACAAGACCACTACGATTATGGGATCTGTACACTTTTACATGTGGACCATCAAAGTTTAAGGGTGCTAACCCAAAGTTACGGTTACTGAATGAATATTTACGGCTATTAGGGATGGGGTCTCATCACACATCAGCCATTGTTGCGGAAGACGAAGTATTTGCTTCCAACCAGTGGTGGAGAATAACTGGGGTAAATTCCAACTATAAGATGTGCGCAACATATCCTTCTACCTTGGTAGTTCCCAAATATATCAGGTATTAAGTGATGGAAATTTCAATTATATTTCGTAGAGATCATGTGAGGATCTGACAATGTTTATTTTGAGTCCTGATGGTATTGTGAGCTATAAGAGCCTGATATTTTTGGGCTTTGAATGTAGTGATGAAGAGGTGGTTCAGGCTTCTTCATTTCGTGCAAAGTGTCGTCTTCCTGTAATTTCTTGGTGCCATCCAGGTACTGAGTTAATTAATGTAGTTCTTTCATTGGCTTTCTCTCTCAAATACCATATAAGAAGTTGGTTCAAGATTCTCATAGTACAACAATATATTGCAGACACTGGAGCTGTTCTAGCTCGCTCATCCCAACCATTAGTTGGTCTTATGATGAATTCGAGGAGGTAACACCATGAACACACGACACCGCATGATTGTTTTGTGCAAATGACTTGATTTCTTTAGGAAAATCATATGATGATAAGTTGGCAGTTCAATTTTTTTATTTTTTATTTTTTAAATTTGGATAATTGTTATTGAAGTCTAGTCAATTGAAATGCAATATGTGATATGTCCTGAACAATGTTAGAAAATTCAGGGGGGCAGCAAAAAACACCTAGGTGGGTGCCTGCCTTGGCGGCTAAGGTGTCGCCTCAAGGCGACAATTGGCCAAGGGCAAAAAAGGGTCCTCGGCCAAGGGCAAAAAGTAACCGCCTCCCCCTCCCTTCTTAGAAAGTGGGGAAACGGGTTTTGGCATGGGGCAATCTGGCCCCCAAAATCCCCAAGGAAGCGTAAGCCCCCTTAAAAACTTATTATTCAGGGTCTTACAGGTTTTGGGATTATATCACAGATTTTTTGCTGCTCTAATGGAAACTCATGGTTATTTGGGTTGTGATTGCCATTGATTATTCCAAAAAGATGGCTTCTTTTATTCTTCAAACGTGATTTTGAAAGGATCGCTGATGATGAAAAGGACCGGTCTTGATGATATGTGGTATTAAATGTGCAAGGGACTTGACAAATTAGGGCTAGTTGCATGTTTTGGTTGGATGAGAGATTTAGATATAAGTAAGTTAAGACTTTTTGGCTAAACCCCACAAAAACCCCACTACGGATCAGTGCGATAGATGGTTTCATATTATGCAACAAAGAAATAGTGTCAAAAAGTAAAAAGACTTCGTGTATATTCCTTCATGTATGTATTTGAAGTGATCGGTATATTGATGTTTGAAATAAATAGTCTATAGTGCAAAAAAAATGTCTATGTTTGAAATAAATAGACTATAGCCTCGGTGGGGCCTGAGGTGCTTCTAGGCGCCCCCCTATCTTTTTGAACATTGGTCCTGACGAGATCAGTTCTACAGCTTTTTCAGATATCTTCATGATGATTTTATTTTCTTACCATGCTTGTGAATCTTCTTTCAGCAATGCCGATGAAAAGCTTGTTGCTGCACTTTGCACACAAATTGCTGGCAATAACGGTCCCAAGAGGTATGCTTTCTTTCATTTTGTTTACTTCTGGTGGGATTTGTACTTGTTTTTCTGAACTACTGACTAGTTTTATAATTAACTCATCATTAGTTGCAAAGAGTAATTTTTGTTGTGCTGCTAATATAATCCAGAAAATATTGTTTTTGTAGTAAATATATTTATACATGTTCAGTGGATGCTTGGGCTCTATTCACCAGTTTTTAAGACCTTTGTATTATTTTTTCATCTAGTATATGTAGAGTTGCCCCAGTTCATGTAAATTCCATGTTGTGTTTATCCGAGTGATATTCTTTCACTGCTATAAGAATTTGGTTACCTTGGTACTGATTGCATTGTCTGGACATTCATATGAACTAATTGGGGCCATCATCTGATGGTGTGCAAAGTGCATGAAGTGGTCAGAGTGACAACTATCTTCTATGGGAGCAGCAGATTCCTCCTAAGTCTTGTGTATGTTAGGACGATGCGAACCTAGGAGGGTTACCAAGAAGATCAAGACGAGCAAGTGTTTCTTGGGATGATTTTCTAGTTATTTTTGGGTTATTTTCAGTAATTTTCCGGTTAGTTTTAAGTGCTTCTATTTTCTGGAGCACTTGAGGACTTTCTAGGCATTAGATTTATAGTCAGGGTGATTTATTTTAAAAGTCACTTAACTCGGGACTTTTGGGTCATTTTATTTATTGTATTGACATTTAATGTCTTTGAACATTAAATAACAATGTTTAAGAGGTGCATGGGGCTATGGACATGTGACTTTTCAGAGTGAAAAAGAGAGAGCGTAGGATTTAAGAGCCCTAGTTGGGCTTCAATAAGAAAATGTAGGCTTCTTTTATTTGTTGCTTGTGCTTGGCCTAAAAGTTTGCTGATTTAGTGTTCTCTATTCATTTTCCTACATGAATTGGTATCATACCACTGTTCAAAGACGGTTAGAGACTTTGATGGCTGGTTGTGGAGGTCTTGGCTGTAGGATGCATATCTGATGCGATTATGCAAAAAAATTGACAACTTGACGAAGAGGGTTATACAGCTGCTGCATGAGCGATATCAGCAACAATGTGCCCAATGAAGAGGGATCGGGGATCTAAGGAGTTGTATCCAAATCATGAGGGTTTTTGTGGAGATTGGCACGACCTAGATTTCGAGTCTGAGTGGGAGCGGATTGATGGTGTGTCAAATTGCATAGACAGTTTCGATTTTCAATGGCATCAATGCAAGCATAATTTAGAAGAAGAACAAAAAGGATCCAATCTTCAGCTGGATTCAATATTCTTAAAATCAGTGGATGGTCCTATCTTTGATAGTGCTCCTATCTTCGTTAAAGAAACATGTGAGAGCGATGAAATTGATCCTGTAATAGTGAGAATAATTGGTTTTTTAGCCCCAGAAGGAAGTAGTAATGAGAATAATGTTAATGGTGGTGGTGAAGAGGTAAGAGATAAGGTGGTTAGTTGGGGGGGACTACAAAGAGCTCCTTTCTCTCACCAATGGTAGTGATGACCCTTCATGTTTCCGATTAGAGGATTTCACCCACCCCACAGATGCACGCTATTAAAGTTGGTTTCACCAAAACCCTCAAGACTTGTTTGAAGAGACTTTGATTGGGCCCATAACCCACAGGTCCTAGGATCAAGCGTCAATGGCAATTTCCAAGGTTCAAGTTGAAGAATACAGTGGATTTAGTGGAGGATTCATATTAGCTCATTTCGAAACTCCAGGACAAGTTTTCTCCAACCAGGGGAGTATGATGCAAATCACGTCTAAATTCAAATTTTATTTTATCTGTAAGTTTTAGGGATATGTTGGTGTTTTCTATATTTTATTTTTCAATGGGGGGTTAGTAGCTTTGGGGGACTAGAAGGGGATTTTATTTAATGTCTTGGGTATAGGGACTTCAACAGTATCGAGAGTTTAGGAGGCAGGAGTTGAACTCTTTTGTCATAGCGTGATTTTTATAACTTACTTCCTATTATCTCAAGTAAAGAGTTCCTAAAATCTCGGAAAAGAGGGAAAGATAAATTGTGGATAAGAAGAGAGAGATGGGCATGTGGTAGTTACGCAAGTGAGAAGAAGATAAACCACAGAGAGACAGTACGTGGAAGGGAAGAGTTAAAACAGGTCTCTTGGAGGTCCCTCCAAAGAAAAGACATTATATTTTTGGACTTATTTTTATGAAAGAAGGAAAGAGCTTCTTATTCGGTTTGTCTTGATTTACAGCCATATATCTCTCCTATTTGTTGCTAATTTTTTCTTATTAGAGGATAAAAAAGAGGATGGATTTAATTTCCCACTTCCCTTCATGCATCATCATCCTAGCCCATAGATACAGACCATTCTTGAGAAAGATCAGCATGTACTATTGAGTGGACTGTGCAAAAAGCTGTAGTTCTTGCGGTGGTACTTTATTAGAGTTAATTTCCTTTCTATGGTGCAAGATCTATTCTGGGGAAATTTTATGTTGCATGACATCCCTAAGATTTTCATATATTCCATTGTTGTTCCATTAATGGCTTGAACTATCATTTGTATTTACCACTCCTTTCATGTATTCCATTGTTGTTCCATTAATGGCTTGGACTATCACGTGTATTTCCCACACCTATCATAATCAGATGAAAAAATATTGTGCTGAAGTTTTTAAATCACCTATCAAGTTTGTTCAGAAAGCATTGCCCTCTTCTTGATTTGTACCTATATTGTCTAATATATCATTGACACTCAATGGAACTCTTCAAATTTGCAATACTATGTTCCGTGCTTGAATCCCACTACTGACCCATCATCATCATCATAATAATCTGAGCCTTATCCCATGTTGAGGTCAGCTGCACGAATCCTGTTTTGCCATTTTGCTCTATCAAGGGCCATACCCTCAGTCAGACCATAGGTCACTATATCTCTTCTCACTGCTTCCATCCATATCCTTTTGGGCCTTCCCCTTGTCCTTTTAGAGCCTTCTACTTGAATCAAATTACACCTCCTAATAGGTATTGTTCTAGGTCGACTCTACACATAACCAGACCACTTATGTTACTTTTCTTCATTTTATCGTCTATTGGAACTACCCCTAAATTCCCTTGGATATATTCATTTCGAATTCTATTCTTCCTTGTCTTTCTACTCATCCATCTCAACTACAGTCATTTTATGGGTATGTTTCTTTTTGATCGCCCAACATTCCATTCCATAAATCATGGCTGGTCTTACGACCGTCCTATAGAACTTCCCCTTCAGTTGCATTGGTATGCGACGATCACATAAGATTCTGAAAGCACATCTTCACTTCATCCACCCAGCTTTAGGTCTATGCGCGTCATCTTCCTAAATTTCTCCATTCTTATAGATTATCCACTGAAAAAAAAGTAAATTGTCTCCATGCTTGTGATTAATAAACTGCTCCTAGCTCTAGTGCTAAGTTCTGTATTTGAATTTGTTATGGGGTCGATATCCATGGATTATTGACAAATCTGCATGAGTAATGTAAAAATTGATTTGGCATGTGAATTGGGAGAGGCATAATTGTGATAAATTATCTCTTGGTAGTCGTTTTAATCCCAGTGAAAGTTCTGGCACTTAATGTGTTTGGACAATATGAGTTTTAAAGTTTCCATCAACTTAAGTATATCATAAAAAAAGCTGATTGTTCTTGCCAAAAACATTGTTTATTTGCTTTGATTGTTTATCATAGAAGCTGCAAATTGCAAATTAGTGTTCTTTAATTATAAAGTACTTTTATATGCTTTTTATGGGTCTGCACCTTTGCTTTTTGCTTCAGGAAAATCCCATTGGTTACTTTAGGGTCTTTTTTGCCAATGCTCTGGTCCTTCAATGCATTTTACAAGTCTTGCTCTTTTTTTTTTTGTTTTTAAATTTTCTTTTGATTTTGGACTCCTAACATGATGCATAACATTGATAAAATTGCGACTATTTCTTCTAGGAAGCTCTATATAGCAGATGCAAGACCTAGAAAGAATGCCTTAGCAAATGGGGCTTTGGGTGGTGGTTCCGAATCGTCTTCTAATTACTTCCAATCAGAGGTCTATCTATAATTTGAACTATCATTATATATTTCTAAATCGGCAACAGTTAGTAGATTAGTTTCTAATAGCATTTACAAATCTGTTTGATGTGGCTACCAGGTTGTATTCTTTGGGATTGACAATATTCATGCAATGAGAGATAGCTTTGCTCGACTCCGAGACTACCTGGACACTCATGGTGTCACATCATCAGATGGATTATCTTCTTTCTTGGTCTGTTTGCACAAAGCCTGGATTTTCTTGAATATTATGGATCACCAATTTTCAGTGTTTTAGATTTGATTGGAAATATATTGTCCTTCTTGGCTTAGGGTTGTGTGAATGCAATTTTATGTTAGATTTTATGTTTTTTTCTTTTGAATGCCAATAATCATATTTAGTTCATTCAGTAAAGAACTGACAATATGTTTTGTTAGTTTATCAATTGGTTAAAGAGGAGGTAATTGGACTCTTTTCTTTGGGACGGAAAAAATAACAATATGGTATATTCGGACTTAGTTTGGATGAACCATTTATTCATGAGTAATCCATTTCTTCCCCCATCTATGTATGAAGAGTAAGGGGCACTGTTGGGTCCACTTGTGCAAATACATTACCCTTGAGTAAGGCCCATTTCTCTTCCCTGATTATTTGAGAAGTGCTGGTAAGCATCCTCTGCCTATTAAAATTTGTTTTTCCCATATCCATGAATTACCACATTCATGAATATATGTACCGGAGCATCCAAATTTGCCATAAAACATTACATAGTTTTTGAATTACCACATTCATGAATATATGTACTGAAGCATCCAAATTTGCCAAAAAACTTTACATAGTTTTTAAATAGATACCTTAGTCATGATCTTTGCATTGATAACCGAGCAGGAGTTATTATATAAAGTACGAAATGTAGCCAACTAAGAGTGTTTATGCATGTTGGAGTGATGGTTTGTGAAATATTGTGAAAATTGTACATATGTCTGCTTTCCAGTGCAGGCAAGGTCACCCTCACTCTTAGGTTTGTCATGTGCTTTACATTTGCGATACTCATTAAAGAGTTCTTTGGCTTCAGAGTGAATGACAGTGTAATGGAAGCTAGTTGCCTGTAGTTTCTCACTTCCTCTCCAAGGTCCCAAAGTTGGGGTTTGTGGGCAAAGCAACCTGAAGGTTGCTTAAAATTCAACTTCAACAGATGCTTCCATGGGAACGAGAACTGTGAAGGGTGGGGAAGTCAATTAGAGCATAAGGTTGCACTAGACCTTCGAGGAGCTGATTGGTATTTTCCATTTTATCAATGCTAAAGCAAGAAATCTTTTGACAAGCTTTAAAATCCTCGTCTGCTTTCTTAATCATGGAAAGGGATTTTCTTGACATCATTAGATATGCATAAGTGAGACGAATTACCTTGGAGATTAGCCAATTTTTTAAGAAAGCAGGAAGGGGAGTTTTTATGCTACTCTCAGATATGCAGAGAACCTAAGTGTGAGGTTGAGTCTCTCACTCAGGAGGGAGTTCATGGGTTTTGGTTTAATTATGGTGTCTATCTGACCCCCTTACTGCATTTTCAGCTTTTGTCTTTTCCTGTCTTATATTACGTCCCTATGCGACTCCATGCAACATTACAAAACCCTTTTCTTAAGATGAATGGAATCATCCATATAGGCGGGCATGCAGTAGGACTGGTAATTGAATTTAGCATGCTTGCTGGCTAGAACTCATCTAAAATAAAATCAAAGTCCCTTCATTTGCAGAATAGTCATTCACTAGTGACTGATTGAATGCCACCTTAATTTTCTGTGCATGATGTGGACAAATTAGGTTGCAATATTACAGAGGTATTCTTGGTTCTGATGCTAGTTATATATGATATGGCACCAGAAAACAGTAGTGTGCTCTTCATTCTTTCTTAAGCCTAGATGCCCCATAAGAGAGGGCTGCAATTACTTCCTTAACCCAGAGTTCCTTTTGAGCAATTCGTTTGGAAGATTTTGCATCTGCATTGATATGACATAGAAGAAATTATATATATGATGAGATAAGTTAAAAGACCTCAAGAAACTTGTGAAGTTTATCTAAAAAAATATGACCACCCCACATTGCATTAGTTTAATTATTTGCTTACTTTTTGGATACTTAGTGTGTGATCATGCTATTTGAACACGGATTTGTATCCTCTGTATTTTGTTATATGATACCTGTAATTCTGCACAGATCTAATTCTTATGACTCAGTGGCTTAACTTTTTTATTATTTGATATGCAGAGAAATGGGGGATGGACTTGGGGTGGGGGTAACTTAAGCAGTATGTCTGCTTCTGTTTCAACACTAGGAGACAGTGGTTGGTTAATTCACGTTCAAAGTGTCCTAGCAGGTTCAGCTTGGATTGCTGCTCATGTTGCTCTGGAATCCTCCTCGGTGCTTGTCCATTGCAGGTTTTGTCACTTCATGTGACATTGCTTATTACTTAATCTTTTGGCTATTAGAAAGCATAGATGTCAATTATAGATCATGCTTTGACTTTCCATTGAACTGTTATTTGACATATTTGTCATGCTTTGACTTTCCATTCAACTGTTATTTGACATATTTGTACACCCATTGTTTATGCACTTTGATTTCTTATATTTTTATCACATAAGTTGAAATGTTTTAAGACTTCAGATTTACACTGTCGTTATATTTTAAAAATTGAGAGTATATTTTTCTCTAATCATAGTCTGGGGAAATATTCTTGAATACATGCACACATATTAGTATGTGCATGATAAAAATGGAACTTATGATACAGGATCTATTAATAGATATTATAAATAGATGCCATTGGGATTCCTGCATCTATAAAGGGTGCAAGTATAATATCAAATATGGCAATTGGTCATGTTCATTGTCTGGGAGAACACTTGTATGCAATGGTTTGGCCTGAGCAACAAGGATGCATTTTTATTCATTTATCAACTAAAACAACTCTTTATTTGCAAGATGTTGGGAGGGCTTTCTTGATTCCATCAATATCTAGTGTTTTTAAATTGGAGTGTCTCAGTACATTATATGAGCATCTCAGTCATTTAACTTCTGCCTGGATATTTACTATGTGATGGTAATTTTGATGAATATTTAGCTTTCTATTCTGGTAAATTGACAAGGGTTTGCTATGTGCAGCGATGGATGGGACAGAACAACTCAGTTGGTCTCGCTTGCGAGTTTATTGCTTGACCCATACTATAGGACATTTGAAGGGTTTCAGGTATATACCATTACCTACTTTACCTATCTTGCTATGTATGTAGATCACTACTTTTCTTGGATGTCTTATGGGGGAGATTTCGTGGAATCAGTAATTAAATGTTTGCCAGTCTGACTAGGAGATGCTTGAGTTGGATTGGGATCTGTAGGTGGGCAATTTCGGTTTGAGGAACCTGGAATCACCCGATTCCCCCTGTTGTTGTTTTTATGTTTTTGTTCTTTTGTTTTTTTTCCTATTGTATCTGTATAATGATCTGATCAGGGAATCCCGACTCAGATTGGGTGAGTTGGAGTCATAGCCCTGGCTATTCAGGGACTCATTCCCATTTTAAATCATACCTTGGGATTAGACTATTTAATTATTCAGGGCCTCATTCCTCTTTTTAAAACACAGCTTGGATTAGACTATTTAATTGGTGGTATTTATGAATGAGCAACTGGATATATTAGAGGAGACTGAGGACCATGGAAGCATGTAAAACCATAGAGGCTTAAGGGGCAGAACCAGCCTCAGAACCAGCCTTAGTGGTAAAACTGTGATAAATGAAGATGTAATAGAGAAATGGCATAGAAACACCTTAGAATTTGAGATGCTTGGTTTGGTGCCCCAAGAACTATGGTTTTAGGATGTGTTTGGTGGTCTTGGGGCACTTTCTTAACCTTCTTGCATCTGTAGTACTACAGTATATTATTTCTTAGATGACAACAGACATTAAATTACAGGGGAATGCTTATTGCTTCATGGAATAATCAAAGTGTGAACATTTACATAAGGATATTTCTCCAGGTTGGAAAGTTTGACCTACCTGATGCTGTTCAAAAATAGCATTGTGAATTGGATTTGGATAGGCCAACTAATTTATAGAGAGGACATGAGTCCGGATTATTGTTTTCTTTGAGGTTTATCTATGTTAGTGACATCAATATCTTTGTTGAATATTTTTAGTCATTATTTTTTCATGAAGCAAGATTTTATTCATCAAGTATTCTAATGTCAAACTGGAATGAAAGAAAAGGTTACAAATCAAAATCATAAATGGAGATGATAAAGAGGCATGTCTGGTGCTAAAGGAAACATCATTTCTGACCAAGAGATCTGGGTGATCAACAACACGAGCCATTGCCAAGAAATTGGCAGACTTGTTGGCCTCTGGGTAGACGTTGTCAGAGATAGTAACAGTCCCTCTAAGATTGCACATTATCTACAAATTTTTATCTGTTAGATTCCATGTCATTGGAAACTCGTGGTTTACCCACCTGATCTTATTTGCTGAGTCACCTTTGACTGGCAAAGGTGCCAAAGGAGAGTGGAAGTAGATTCTGAACCATACGAGAAAACACAAGGAATTACAAAACTATATTGTTGCTGTTCTGAAAGAGACCGCCAATGATACCTTTTACTTATTAGTATTAATGTTAGATCGAGAATAGCTCATTTGAGACCCAGATTTTATCTGAGACTGTTCTTTGAATTAGATAAATTGCGGATTTTAGAATGTGGTAAAAGCAAACTGGGTCTGAAGGATTATCATTTGTATTTCTTCTTTCAGGCACTAGTGGAAAAAGATTGGCTTGCATTTGGGCATCCATTTTCAGAACGTATGGGGCTGCCATCCTTCTCTGGTAATAGTAACATAACTGCAGAATTATCTAGACAGTCATCAGTGGGAAATATTCCTTCGTCACCAATGCGGTCGTCGTCTGGATCGACATACACATCTACTAGTGGCTCTTCACATGCACAGATATCAAACAACTATTCACCCATTTTTTCGCAGGTATGTTAATTTCATCATTCCTAAATTATAAGTTCATGTGTTTCTGTTTTACTTCGACAGGGTCAGTCCACGAGAAATAGAGCCTTTATCTGGATTGCCCAGTGTGTTGGTTTTCATCCTTGCAAATTTGCAGAACTTTCTGTCTTTGATGCCTTGTTTTTCTTTTGAAACAAGTATTTCTGTTACAGGATTCCACTAATTGTTTATATACATGTTATTCGAAATGATTGGAGATGTGTGCAAGATAAAAAGCTAGATTGAAATCTCTCTGTTTGAAATGATGCAGAGAAATCACTAATTTATGGAGTTATGTATGCCCATGTCTTGAGTTAGATGAGCAGAACTTTATTGCAATCATCATCATCATCATTTTAGCCTTTTCCCAATTAATTGGGGTCTTGCCACTCATCCATCTCAACATCCTCATCTCCGCTACACTCATTCTATGGGTATATTGGTTTTTGTTTGCTCAACATTCCGCCTCATAGACAAAAGCTGGTCTCACCACTGTCCTATAGAACTTTCCCTTCAGCTTCATTGGTATGCGGTGATCACATAAAATACACTGCAATATAATACAAAAAATAGTCTTTATAGTTAGTGATTTCTTGTTGATGATTTTTACCTGGTTCATGCCTCGCAGTCCATTGACAGGAATTGAACACTATATTTCCAGTCTCTTTTGTGGGCCCTTACTGCATGCAAATGTTATAAATTAAGCTAAATCTTGGGCGCCATATCATAACAAATTTTTGTATGGATCTTTGCAGCATCTGTCATGAAGCTTAAGTTGGTCTAACAGATGAAGTTGCTCTGTATTTTTATGTTAAATGAGCCCATTACATTGCATCGGCCGATCATATAATGTTTTATACTTCTAGTATGAGTTATTGTGGGATCTCGATACACCTATTTACCATCTTTAGAAACTGTTCTGCTGGCAATCTCGTCACTTGTCTAGGCACCATTACTTGGTTGCTAGTGTGGGACCTCGGAAACCATTGCTAGGACACTATGCTCCTGTTCCAGGAAACAAATCAGAGTGGCTGGTTTGTCCCGTTTTGAATGGGTTTGAGATCTCTAATGGCTGGTTTTCTCTGTTTTGAATGGCCTTGGAATCTCTTCTGGTTTTGGGCTAGATATGGACCACCTGATCCAGAGAAGCTGTATTTTATCTTTTTCATATCCGTCATTTACTTAATTTGTAGCAATTATGGTTTTTGTATTTTTATTTTTGTTCACAGTGGTTGGATTGTGTTTATTTGTTCACAGTGGGTGGATTGTGTTGCACAGTTACTAAGGATGTATCCCTGTGCGTTTGAGTTCTCCTCGGTATGTTTTTTTTTTTTGAAATTTGTTTTCTGAATTACTGGTTGAATTTTTTTTGGTGTATTTCCTGTGATAAATATTCTTATTGGTGTTTAGTTAATGTGCTGCAGGTCTTTTTAGTTGACTTTTTGGATTCTGTGCAATCTTGTCGCTTTGGGAACTTCTTATGTAACAGGTATCTTTCTTATAATTTTCATTACTAAACATATGACATACTTCTAGCAAAACATGGTGGTTATATTTCCCTTTCTTGTACTTTGTAGGATAAAGTATAATTCATTGCTTAGAATCTCTATTGAACTCTTAACCTATGTTACTAATATGGGTTCAGATGCCAAACCTCGTAGGGTGTCTTAGACCAGCCTGCTATCCACTTTATTAGATCATGGAAACCACTTGATCTCTTTTAATTTTCCTTTTAAGGTTTTCGAATTCTTTTGGGCTAAAGTTGCTATTGCATTGGCCTTTCTACATGCCAAATCAATCAAGTAAAAGCAGCCTTTGTAAGTAACAATGCTGAACATGAAACATTTAGGTTTAGGCATGTTTTAGAGCCAAATAAGTGCCTTTATTGAAAGCCATTATCCTGGGACTTACTAGATAAAACATTGGAACCATTAGTCGGCATCACTACATTCAGGAAATGGCATTATTTTTCATCAAATAGTGGCATCTAATTGTTTCAGATTTTATTATGTACTTCATTTGACAAATGAAATTACATGTAGTGAAAAGGAAAGGCAGCAATCTGAGATTTCAGACGCTTGTGGATGCTTGTGGACATATTTAGCTGATTTGCGTGCTACAGAGGGGGGTTATCATCACTTTAATCTCTTCTATGATCCTGAAAAACACGATGGTGCTCTCTTGCCTCCTGCTGCAGCATTGGCTCCAACCCTCTCGCCTCAGTTCCATCTGCGCTGGGCATGTCCTTCAGAGGTTCTAGGTGGGGATCTTGAAGCCCAATGTCGCGCGGTGGCTCAGAAGTTTGAAGATATGCAGAAGGTGCACTTTGATTCGCCTCTCCAAGTCGTAAACTTGAATTAATCTCCCTGAACTCTACCAAAGAAGTTTTGGGTTGAAGTGAACTTCCATAAATAAAAGAAAGATGTGATTCTCTAGTAGCCTGACCTTTTTTATTGTCCTCCTGGTAATATGAATTTTACATTTTGTCACAGCCCTTGTTTTATATATATATATATATATATATATATATATATGGGTTTTGTTAGGCTATACTACTTGTGGTGTAGACCTATAAAGTGCTCAACATTTTTAGACATTTAGATACCCTTATCCTATAGTATAGTAACTTCTTGTTTAGGGGTATTTTAAGTAATTAGTCAAGGGTAAACTAGAAATTCCTAATAGAAACAAAAGCATTTATTAACAATAGTGGACATTGACATCACCAATATGGTGTGTGACATCACCCATAAGATGCATTAATTGTTTTTAACGACTAATAGAATGCCACTATTTTCTTATAAAAATATCCATTCTACCCTTCTAAATGACCAAAAATGCTGCTACTTGAAAAATTTTGTATTACAATTCAAGGGTGTTTTAGTGTCAAAAAAAATTGAGCACTTTAAGGGTCTACACCACCAAGTGGTGTAACCTAACAAAACC